CAAACTGCTCTCTAAGCGCTGGATCTTCCGCGAGCTTCTCCCAGACTGCCTCCAGGTGTCTGCCCCCCTAAGGTGGGTACGGCGTTTAGGGGTTTAGGGGTTTAGGGTTTAGGGGTTTAGGGTCGAGGGGTTTAGGGGTTGCGTTAAGGACTCCCTTAGGGGCTCCTGTAGGTGCCCCTTGCTGGGCTCCTTGGTTTAGGTTACGAAAGGGGTACTAGAGGGTTTTGGGGGTTTTCGGTTGAGGGTTTAACCTAACCCTAAACCCTAAGCCTTAAACCCTAAACCGTAAGCCTAAACCCCTAAGCGCTAAACCGTTGAGGGTTCGAGGAGTTTCGGGTTGAGTGGGTTGAGAAGCTTGGGGGCTGCTACGCTCCAGGGGTTCGGGTTCAGGGCCTTTAGGGTTTAGGGTTCAGGACCTTGAGGGTTTAGGGTTCAGGACTTTGAGGGCCGTTAGGGTTTAGGGCTGCGGGCTTTCGGGTTTTGAGTTTACTTCGGAAGAGAATAGGGTTGGGAGTTTGCTGAGGTTCAGTGAGGGCTTGGGGTTGAGAGGTCCGAGGCCAGTGCAAGAACTTGCGAAAAAACCGCGAGCCCCAAATCCGTGAAGGTTTGCGCTTCAAGGGTTTAGGGGTTCAGGGTTTAGGGTTCAGGGGTTCAGGTTTTCGTGGTTCCAAAGTAAGGAAGCTGGCCGCCTGTACCTTGCTAGGATTGCGGCGGTGCTCTGCGCGGCCCTCCTCGGCGCACGCCTGGGAGGCACAGGACGTAAACCAGGGCTTAGGGCTTGGGGTTTAGGGTGTAGGGATCCCGCAGATCTTATGCGATCTTATAGGTGTTTCTGAGTGATTCTAGGCAGATTCCACCGAAAGACGCCCACTAAACCAGAGCTTATACGGGGCTCTGTCGGTCGAAATGCTAAGTCCGGCTTAATTAGCGGGTTTGCGGAGGGCTTAGGGTTTCAGGGAACCCCTTAAGCCCAACTAGCTTGAACCCATACCGGAAATTCAGCCCTGCCAAACCTAAACCCTCAACCTACTGGTCACGAACTAGACATCCGACTCCCGAAACCCTAAACCCTATAAACCCTAAACCCTATAAGCCACAAGCCCTATAAACCCTGAACCCTAACCCTAAACCCTGAACCCTAAACCCTAAACCCCGGAGGCAGAGCTTTTGCGGTCAACCCGGTGCCTCTGCTGGTGGCGTTTTCTGCGAACAAGCACTTTGCGGCGGTGTCGCTGGGAGGCTCACTGCCACATCTATAACCGGGGAGGGGTGTTCGGTACCCCCCAAAAGCCTCCCTAAACCCTGAACCCACAAAGCCCTAATCACTAAGCCCTATAAACCCTAGCCCTAAACCCTAACCGCAATAAACCCGAAACCATAAACCCCCCAAAGCCTCCTCTTATGATTCTTTAACAGGCCTCCCATGCTAGCCCTTGTCCTGCACCCACATGTCCGAGCTACCGAGAGACTCGAACCAGCCGCGCTTGAGGACTCCAGGTTGCAAAGTGACACACGGACGTGCTTTTGGTTTTGTTGTGGGCTAAGTTTAGTGTTTGGGGGCGGAGGGTGTCTGGGGCTTCTGGAGTTTATCTTAGGATTCAACAGGCCGTATTGCAGAATAAGACAAACAACATTTCGAAGCTGCATGGGATCAGAGCTCATTTGGGCTCACTGGCAATCGTCAACCCGCAACGTAGAACTCATCCGTCTAAGAGCGATGAAAGTGGCTTTGGTGCTTTTGCTGCCCCTGGTGACCTCGGCGTTTCGTCAGCTAAGGGGTGGCAAGGTGAAGAGACATCCGCCAGAGCCGACTCACTGCGATAACAAGGGTAAGGCCTGGACGAAGCAATTCTGTGGCGTGCCAAGCTCGAATTTGAGCAGCAGCAAGGTCATTGATTTCAGTGATGTCCAGGCATCTCCCATCTGCAGCCAGCTCAACCAGGACCGCTACCTCGACGCCGTCTTCAAGGCCATCGGAACCACCAACACCTACTTTGTGGAGTTCGGCAGCCGCCGCCCCGAAGTTCTGAACTCCGCCCACTTTCGCCTGAACTGCGGCTGGAGGGGTCTGCTCATGGATGGTGCCCCTGGGGCCTCGGTCCATGGACCCTGCCCTTCTTGCCCTGGACAGGAGCTGCTTGAGGCAGCCGACGATGCCCCGGTGCGCCTGCGCCAGGCATTCCTGACGGCGGAGAACATCAACGACAAATTCCAGATGCATGAGGTGCCGTGTAAGTTCGATCTCCTCACGGTTGACGTGGACTGGAATGATTACTGGCTCGTCAAGGCCTTGGACTTTGGCCGCTTCCAGCCGCGCGTGGTGGCCATCGAGTTCAGCAGCTACTTCCGGGGCTCAGAGAAGCAGGTGCGCTCGTACAAGTCCGATGGCGTTTGGGGAGGGGAGGTCACCGGTGCTTCCTTGGCCGCATTGGACGGCCTCATGCGGGCCAAGGGCTACAAGCTTGTTGCCCAGGTGGCCGGCGAGCATGGCATTTGGGTTTCGGCCAAGGAGATGAATCCAGACGACCATGCAATGAAGATTCCCGAAGTTATCTCAGAAGGATGGCAGTTTGGCATGCGACGAAGCGGTACTTCTGCATCAGGCTTCGAGGAGGTTACAGATCCCTGTGCCGACTTCGGCTGTCAAGAGAAAGCCAGCTCATGCGACGAAGGTGGCGGTACCCAGCTTGCGGAATAGTCAGGCAGCTGCAAACAAGGGCGGTGATAATTCCAACAAGGGCGATTTCTGATCGCGCCATCGCAGACTCTTCGCAGTATGCTGACCGCCCTGGCATAAGTCCAGACATCTGCTGAACCACTCGAAAAAGCACCATGCGCCTGGGGACCATCCCTTACGTCCAGGCCCCTTCTTCAAGACCCACCTTAAGTTTGCAGTTTAGGGTTTGAGGCTTGATTTCAGGAGTTATTCCGCAACACCCCCTAATCCGGGGTCATGGTATACTCGATAGGGAATCCAGGGTCCCATGTTCGACATACCTATTATCAACTTGAGCAAACCCTAAACCCTAAAACCGAAGCCTGAACAAAATCCCAAACCCAAGGGAGTTTGGGAGCGTCCCCGGCAGATTTTCGCAAGAGTTGCAGGGCTGCACCGGCAGGGCTCTAGCTCCAGCCTCCAGGAGTCAGACGGTGGCGTGAAAGAGGTCTTAGAAGTACGGTTGTTTCGTTTGGTTTTTTCGCAGGGCTTCATCGTGTGGGTAGTTCTCTAAATTGGGGTCCCTTTGCAGGTCACCAAAATAGTACGGCACCCTTATGAAAAGGACCCCCAAAGGGACCCTAGTTTAGAGAACTACCCTGTGTGGTGCTGCTGCAAGAAACAGTGCTACTTGAGTAGCATAGAGGGATGGATCAATCGAATAGATGGCGAATGGGTCATGGGATTGAAGCCGGTTTTACGCAAATCACCTGAGGATGTGTGATTTTGTTAAGCAGTAGGCCAACGGATTCAAGTATTCAGGCATCAATGCCTCGCAGGTTTAGGTAAGCAGACCTGATACCGAAAAGGTGTAATTCTATTCCTTGGGCGAGGCTTGTTGGAAGAAGAGCTTCGCACCTGCCATGGGAACTGGTGCATCCAGTGTCGCTCACAAAGAGCGTTTAGCAAACACTGCACAAGACGAGCTCAACAACTTCGTGAAAAGCTTGTCGCAGGATGAGTCCAAGAAGGTGTCCTCAGCATTGCAGCTAGCGCTCCAGCCTGCAGGCATCCAGGCGCTACAGAGCCGGGTGAGCTCTCCCTCTTCTTCTTGGGCTCTTACTTGCAGGGGAAGATGATATGAAGGCAGGGAGTATAAAGAGGACTTCGTTGGCGAGCTTCGCACGTTCAGGTATGTTGCCCCAGATGGCCCTGTGCAGCTGTGGCACCATGCGTTTAATCTGCAAGACCTCCATGCTGCGAGCGTCAACAGCTTCGTGTTGCTTTGCGGGGTGAGGAGCACCCTGACACTTTGAAGAGCATCAGCAACCTCGCAGGGCTGCTCCAAGCTCAGGGGCGATTGGAGGAGCGGCTGCCGAGCCAAGCTGGGCGATGATCGCCCTCAAAGGCTGAGCTTCATCAACAACCTCGCAGGGCTGCTCGAGGCCAGAGGGCAGCTGCAAGAGGCAGAGCCTCTCTACAGCGAAGCCCTGTGTGGCTGTCGCGCCAAGCTTGGTGATGATCATCCAAACACACTCAGCAACATCAACAACCTTGCAGGGCTGCTCGGGGCCAGAGGGCTGTTGGAAGAAGCGGCGCCCTTGTATCGTGAAGCGCTGCAGGGCCGCCGTACTCGGCTGGGTGATGATCACCCTAATATCCTCGCCAGCATCAACAACCTAGCGGGGTTGCTGAAGGCCAGTGCTGCTGCTGCTGCTGCTGCTGCTGCTGCTGCTCATCAACATTGTTGTCGGGAGTAAATGAGCTAGCCCCCAACTAGAATGATCAAAATCACGGCAGCAAGAATCATGATAAGCATAGCGCCATGGCAGCATGAAGACGAGAACAAGACTAATGACAAGCCAACAACAACACTCTTAATGACGCAAAGAAATACCAGCAGTAGCAACACCATTAGCAACAGCAGTCGCAAGACGAACAATGACAACCGTAATGGCAATCATCGCAGCAACAGCAATTTCAGCATAATACCCAATGTAGCACTAATACCATGAGCGGTGAGATTAGTGACAGTACTACTACTAGTAGAGATATTTCAAGTAGATAACATGATAGTAGAGCCGCAACAATAACAATAGCAGCACTAGTCATGATAATGAGAACCTTTACACAGCATGATTCTAGGGGCTGCGCCCACGAACCTGCCCACCTCTCTCCTGGGGTTCCACAGGCCACTCCCAAAATTGCAAGACATGAGTGGGCGGTTGCGAGCGCGCCGGATGCTCATGATGCTCGCCGGATGCCCTCCTCGCTCACGGGTGGCCCCAAAACCGTGGGGCTGTGCCCACGGACGGGCAGTGCAGGTAGAAGCCTGGAGCAAGGCCACGCACGCACCTCGAAACCTGAATGCCTTGAAACCCAAGCCGCAACCTCAAAAAACTTAAAATGCCCCCGAGCCCCGAAAACCAAGGCACGCTGATGCTCCTGATGCGCGACCCGGGTCCCGGAGTGGAGCCGCTGATGCTCATGACGTGCGGCCTCTGGGGGGTCCATGGCTACCGAAATCACGCAAAAAAAGCACGAAATTGGGTGGTGTCGGTGGTGCTGGCCGCGCCCTTTTGCTAAAGCAAAGCGTGCAAGCTACAGCTCGCCTGGGGCGAGGCGCACGCGCTCGGTCTCAGGACCGACCTCTGCCCCGGTTTTAATGGCTGCCGCCAAGCCGCCGACCCCTAGTTTGAGCTGCGCCGCAGGATGTAAAGGCAACTCGAGCAGGAAGGCCCGGCCGGTTGGGCCTGCTTGAGCTCGAGTTCTGATACAGATAGCCTGCTACAGGGCCAGAAGATGGGTGGGGGGCTTGAAGGGATGTGCATGCATGGTGGGCGCCCAACGCACAGCGGGCGTTGTGGTGGCTGCAGGGTCGGGTGCTTTGGGCAAGGGTGCTGAGAAACACGAAAACCGGAACGACAAACACGAATTCTGGGCGCCGGACCACGGACATGTGTTTAAGCTTAAACATTGGGGTTTTACCACCGCTTCCTTGTAAACCTTTCCATGTTCAGACATGTGCTAACGCCGTTTAAACATCGCACACCTCTGGGGCCCGAAGGTTTAAACATAAGTTCGTCTAAGCCGCATAAACATAAACCCCAATGCACCCCTGTAGGCCGGAGAGGCGGAGGCGCTGTACCGAGGCTTTGCATGGCTGCTGAGCTGAGCTGGGTAATAGTAATGATCACCCTCAGACACATAGCTTCATCAACAACTTTGCAGGACTGCTGGAGGCCAGAGGCCTGTTGGAGGAGGCAGAGCCTTTGTATCGCGAGGCTGTGCATGGCTGCCCGTGCAAAGCTGGGTGATGATCACCCCCATACCCTCGCCAGTATCAACAACCTCGCGTTGCTGCTGAAGGCCACAGGGCCGTTGGAGGAAGCGGAGCCGCTGTTCCACGAGGCTTTGCATGGCTGCCGAGCCAAGCTGGGGAATGATCAGCCTCAGACGCTGAACTTCGTCAGCCACCTTGCTTGGGCACTGAAGGCCAGAGGGCAACTGGAGGACGCAGAGGTCCTGTACCCGCCGTTCCAAGCTGGGCGACATGCATCCTCAAACGCTGGAAAGCATCCATCTAACCTTGTTTGGGACCAGATACTCCTATTTGAGGGTACAAGGAGGGTCATGGTCTAAGTCTACGGCTTATCCAACTTGCTGAAAGAGATGGGTCAGTGGGAAGAGACTGCCTCTTCCCACTGACCCACGAAGTTTCTCCAGGAGTTAGGCAAGACCACCGAGCTGCGTCAGTTGCTGGAAGAGTGCAGCTTGGCCGAGGAACGTGGAGAAAAGGTTTGCGCCAGAAGGTACGAGTCTACAGCTGAGCCCCAGAGCCTCTAAAGCATCGGTGTAGACCAGCTTCCTGTCAGGTGAATCCGGCTGCCCCGCCACGCCGGCTTCACTGCTGAAGGCGTGCCGTCTCTTGGGTGTAAACCCCAACCCCAAGCTGGCCGCTGGCGGGAACCGGCCACTCGCCGATATGCCAGTCACTAAAACTAGAACCCTAATAGACTCCCTATCGAGCCTTGAAAGCAGCCTTATCGAATCAGACCTCATGTCAACCCTGTAATACCCTCATACCAGCCTAATACAACTCTTATAGCAACCTCAAGAATGAGAGGTTAGAGAACCTTCACTTAGAAGCACTGAAAATCCTCTGCAAGACACCCATAGCATGCCTTTGAAGCCCTTAGCGTCCGCGAGCGCCACCCCTGCACTCTGAATCCGAAGCCCCAGCCCTGATTGGGTTCAGGGTTCAGGGTTTAGGGTTTAGGATTAAATGCTAAATGCTACATGCATGTAGTGGAAACGCCCCAGCACACTTTAACACACGCCCTAAGCTCGAAACCCTCAGTCCCAAATCTTAAATCCCAAAGCCTAAATCCTAAAGCCCAAATCTCAGCCTTACACCCCCAAAAGCGGATTCTGCTGACTTGCTCTGCTAGGTGGAGAAAAAAAGCTGTTCAAAAAAAGCATAGAAAAATCCCAAAAAAGCCCATACAAACCCCTAGGCCCTAAACCCTAAACCCCCTAAACCCCTAAACCCCCCACCTAAACCCTAAACTCCTAAACCCTAAACCCCTAAGCCCCTAAGCCCTAAGCCCTCAACCCCCAAACCGTGCCCGCCAGGAGCTGGAGCGCTGGATGGAGTCCACCGGTTCCTATCCCAGGCTCCTCGGTTTAGGGTTTAGGGTTTCGGGTTTAGGGTTTAGGGTTTAGGGGGTTTAGGGGTTTAGGGTATAAGGGGTTTAGGGTTTAGGGGGTTTAGGGTTTAGGGTTCAGTTCGAGTTCCTGAAGCCTTCTGCGGCTCATTGGGAAGAATCCAAAAGCTCCGCAGCGGCGTAGTCATCGCAGCCCGACTCCGAACCGAAGCCCTAAACCCTAAACCCCCTAAACCCTAAACCCTAAGCCGAAACCCTGAA